GCGTGGCATGCACCGATCGCTTCCGGTCAGTGCCGGTCAGTCCGACAGCCGTATCAGTGCATGAGTGGCTGCCGGTTGACCTGCGAACGCTGTCTGGGCGAGTCTAGTCGCTCGCTGGAAATCCCTCACGCGCTACTTCGCTTCGCGCCGCCGTTCGCGTCATTGTCGTCTGTGCTGATTATGCGGGTGTGCCACGTAGATCGCACTTGAACACCTGCTGCAAGACGTCATGTCGGCGCTGCAGTCGCCGCCGTCTAGTCTGCGTCTGGTCGTGGTAGTCGCCCTATCCGCAAGCGCGACGTCTGTCCGCCCGTCTGTCTGTCCATCCGTCCGGCTATTGTTTGGCCGGAACCTGCGATAGAGGCCGATGTTTCGTCGGTTTGTACGCTGACCACCAGCCGAAGTTACGACGCATGCCGACGTTAAGGCGTCTTGTCGATAGGCAGTCGCATCTTGCCAACGTGGGCGCAGTCTTTCTTGTCCACCCACTATTCGTGAAGCCCACTGGTTGCCCCCGCAGCTCACCTCGCTCCTCGCTGCAGCGATAACGTTCGACATATTCGTTTTTGCTGCTCCTCGTCCGTGGTGGGTAGTTGGACTGTTGCTGCGTTGACTTACTAGCGCGTTGTTAGCGCACATGAGACCCATGTGAGTGACAGCCATTTCATTGTAAAATAAAGGAAGGGGAAAATCTTGCAAAAAACAAGATCAAATATCGCTTTTCAAATTAAAGCATTAAGTGATTCGAGCGAGCATTAAGTGAATGGGACCGTGTTATTGAACTGTTTACGTCAGGCAGTAGAACGGTCATACTGAATTCTGAGAAGGTTAAGAAATAAATGCGAAGTTAACTGCGAAGGGGCTAACACGTTCGAAAAGTAATGCATTGGAGTGAATGGATAGTCCCTTAAGCGTGGATTAAAGAATCGGTGCCACCTGATTCGGAATCGTTAATCATTATGAAAAAACGCAAAAGGAATATTTGCGTATCTTCAAGATGTGCGGATAATAAAAAACGGATGCGTTTTGAGCTA